TAATGTAGATGTTCCCAGTTTCCAAGATTCTACTCCTGAGATTTAAGTTATACAACTAAATAGCCTCTAAAAGATCACAACCAATATTTTATGTTTATCTTAAAGTATTGTTTATTAAGAGATTTGTTGAGCTATAGCTGACCTGCAACAAACTCTGTCTGATATCTAAGGGAAATAATTTGTAAAATTTTAAATATATATACAGCCATGAAATTGTCACTGCATTCCATATACCAAGTGTGTATCTGTGAGTCCCAAAACTATCTCTGTGGACTTTTGGTGTCAATCTCTCATCTCCCTTTCTCTTTTCCTAGAGACTTACTAATTTACTTTTACTTTTATTTGCATTTTAAAATCATATATTTGTGATTGTAACATGTGAACCATCTTTGTCTGACTCCTTTAATTCAACAAATCCTTGAGAGATCAATATCTGACATTTATAAAATTGGATCATTACCTTTTTTTGATGCATATATTACTGGACTAGCTATAACTTGTTTTGCCATTCTACCGTCAGGCTTTTAATATACTTTTATTGCTAGATACAAGTCTTTTTGTACTTTTATTTCTCTTGTCATTTGCTTTGTAGGTATTAATTGTTCTGAAACAGTAGGTGGTATAGGAGGGAAATACCAGAAACATACCTGTCATTTAGTGATTAAATCTCTATATGTCTCTTTGTTGACTGTAACCCACTTTTCCAGGTAGTGAGCCAAATAATCACCTACCCACATTGTATGGGAAAATCATATGCTAGAACAGTGTTAAATAAAATCGCTTATGCTATTTCTGAGATATCTAAAAGCATACCATAACCTTTAAGTATTTTCATATTATTTGAATTAAAGCATCACACAGAAGTCTCATGTATGAAAGTATCAAGAAGAGAAGAAAACCCTTGGGACAACTTTCTTAGTGACATTCTAGCTTTATCTATCTAGCCCATGAGACCCAGCTCATTTTATATTATTTTGTATTTATCTTTTTATTAGTTGTATTCACTCTTTTACAGAGGAAAATGTTTTAAATTTTCTAAATTTCAATTGATCGCCTTTTAAACTTTATGCCTTGTTCTGTAATTGTCAGACCAAAGAGCCTTTTCTTTGTGTAGATTTTCTTTCTGAATTATATAAATTCAAATTTATATTTTTGATACCTCTTGAGATATTGATAAAATGTTTATATTATAATATTTTTGCATATGAGCTCCTAATTAGAAATCATATTTTCAAAAGACAAATTTCCATTTGAATTTTTTAGTGCTGCATAAATTGCTTAGGCTAATGTGCCTCCAATTCTGCGTTATTCTGTTCCCTATGGAGGTTTATTACCCTTTTGCCAATTCCATACTATTTTCACCATTGAAGTTTTGTGTAAGTCTTGATGATAGCATGATCTCTGTAATCCATATTTAGAATTGTTTTGATATTGTCTGACTTTTAAAAAAGAGTTATTCTTTGCCTTCCTATACACAATTCACATAACGTCATTATATGTACAAAAATTTTGTCCTATGTCTTAAGCCACTTAAACTGCTATAATAGAGTACCACAAACTGGGTAACATATGAAGAACAGAAATTTCTGGTAGATAGAAGTGAAAATGTTATCATCTGTCAAGAACTTATTATGGTGCTATCCATGAGTAAAGAGTAAAGGGTAAAAGGCAGAAAAACAACATGGGGATGGTTTGTCCTATTATAAAGATTTCACCCTTGATCGTAAACCCTCGCTCATAATAATGACATTAGTTCATGTATAAGAGCAGAGTCTCCATGCTCTAATTACCTGTTTAGGCTGTTTATACTCTCACTTCTTAATACTGCACCATGGCAATTAAACACCAACCTGGAAGGGGGAGGAGACATGCAGGTCACAGCACCTGGGAACAAGACTTGCCTATACTCCTTTATGCTGATTTTCATTCAACATATAAAATATCTATATAGTTTGATAAAGTTACAACCAACCATATAATTCTAGTACCATTATAAATTGCATTGTTTTAAATTCAAATTCAAAATAATCATGGCTTATATACAGGAATATAATTTACATTTGAGTATTAACATGTAACTTACAAGTTTTCTTGACACACTGAGACTTTTCATGGGTCTAATCATTAATACTGACAGTCACATATTATGTCAATTCAGACGGCTTTTATTCTCAGTGTCTTTTTTTAAAATTTTATCTTCAGTTATTATTTATTTATGTGTGTTTGCTTATTTATTTATTTATTTATTTATTTATTGTTTTTATGTCGTGACTGGTTTCCCCTCTTCACCCTCATTCATTCCTCCTCCTCCATTTTTCTTCACAAAACCGGCCTCCCATGGTTATCAACCAGCCATTGCATATCAAGCTTCAGTGAGACTAGGAACCTCCTCTCCTATTAAGGCTAGATAAGGCAACCAAGTAGGAGGAAACGGTTACAAAAGCAGGCAACAGAGTCAGAGATGGCCCTTGCTCCCACTGTTAGGAGTTCCAATAAGAAAACCAAGCTACACAACTATTTGTGTCTTTTAATACTGGCCAGTACTTTCATGAAATATTTCATTACAGTAATAATGCATGAAGTTTTGCACATGGATAACATATCTCCAATTTCTGTCTAGGGAATATGTTTTAATGTGACATTGCCTTTATTAAGTTAAGGTTGTTCTTTTGTTTATAGCTTACTGAGAGGTTTCACCATGACTGAGCACTGAATTCATTGAGTGCTATCTTTCTATTTAGTTGGTAATCTAATTCACATCAGTGTGAATCATACTCAGTGATTTTCAAATGTTAAACCCATTTGAGGACTTCACTGTTCATAATATACAGTATTATTTTAAGTTATTGCTTGACCTTATTTATTAATATTTAATTTATAGGAGTTATTCATTTCTTTGTGGGAAATGTTACTCTACAGTTTTTTTCTTTTGTTTTAAAATAGTTAATGGATGACCATAGCTCATGAACTGAGTTGTGATATCTCTAAATTATCTCACTTTCTGTACATTGTCCAGTTGTGTGTCTCCTTATCAATTACAATTTGCTTCAAGGAGAAGCTTGTTTGATGAGAGCTGAACAGTGCATTGATCAGCAGGTACAGTAGTATAGCATTAGGAATCACTTTATTACTATGGTCATCTAGCAGAATAATAGTACTAGAATTCTTTTTATACATGTATATATTTTAGAAAGCTTCTACAGTAGTAAGCTACCACGTAGCATTTCAAAGGGCCTTTTATGTTAGTTTCCCTCCTCATATGTCTTTCTTTCTCTACCTTTCCAAATCTTCACCAGCTTTCTGTTTGGATAGTTTCCTTCATGTCTTAAGTTTTCCTTTCATTCCTTTTCATAAGCTGGAAGCTTTGCTGTGTGGAGTCTTGCCTTGAGATCACCACTACCTTTATCCCATTTAGCACAAGGCTTTTCTTTAAACTTTTTATCTCTTTGTGCACCAGACTTAGTTGCATAAACTTTCTGGTGCTTCTTTTTCCTCAACCTATACATTTTGTAGTTTTATTTTGTAGGCTCCTTTTCATTATAGCTCTGCATAAGAGTGGCCATTAATAACCATATTAAACAGTTAATACTAGGCTCTCTTAAAATCTCTGATAATGTCATTAACCTAACACTCTTCCATTTAGACTCAGGCAGATATTTTGGGCAAGGGCAGAAGGCAGCCTCGTTCTGTGCCAAAATATCACAAAAACTGTCTCTAGGCTACTTACTAATATTCTTTCCCTTTGAAACTTCTTGAGTTGGGCCTCACAACTCAAATTCCCTCAGCACTAGCTTCCATGCTCCTACTAGTCTGGCTCATTGAGCCATGCTTAGTGCTTAGAGCATTCAACTGGTTTCCTAATCCAAAATCCCAAAGTTCAGAATCTACCAATAAGCAGTGGTCAGGCCTGGCATAGCAATACCCTGCTTCCTGGTACCAACGTCTGTCTTAGTCATTCTTCTCCTGCTGTGAAGAGACACCAAGACCCATTTAGCAACATAATTGTAGTCGATTTTCTTCGAGGGCCAAGGGCCAATCTCCTCTAGGTTCTTGGTTTAAAAAAATGGTACCTGACATGATTTTCATCTTATGGAATATTTAAATCCATTTAGAAAGTTGTTAGTTACTCCCACAATGTTCCTGCCATTATTCTACCAATGGGCATGTCTTGCCAGGCCAGTCATTGTTGGATCATGCAGAGTTCATGGCTGGGTATGATTGATGTATTTTTTTTTAATCATAGGCTTGAAAAAGTCATTAATGTGCAATTCATCCAGATCTTTTCTTTTGTAAGGTTATGTCTTTGTTTTCAGTTATCAACAACATAGTCACAAAACATTTTTATATTTAAAGTTCAAATTACCATTAAATATTACTAATTAGCTGAGCAGTGGTGGCGCACACCTTTAATCCCAGCACTAGGGTGGCAGAAGCAGGATCTCTGTGGGTACAAGGCCAGCCTGGTCTGTAAGAGCTAGTTCCAGGACAAGCTCCAAAGCTAAGAGAAACCCTGTCTCAAAAAAAAAATTAGCTAATTAACAGGTTTCAACACTGTTCCACTGATTAGAAATAATATATATAATTGTTAACAAATGACATTAGTTTGCTCACACTTTGATTTCAAGTAATTTTTCTTATATTTTTCTTCACATTATGCATGCATGCCTTTAGACTGCCTGTTTTTGTTTCATAGATGCATTAATTTACTTTAAGTATTTTTTTCCACTGTTTGTTAAATACATTTACTGGGGGTAGTGCTCACTTAGAAAATTTGATCAAAAGGTTAAAGTAACCACAGAGTGTAAACTAGAGGGGTAATGAGTTCTCCTCTGATCAGAAACATGTGTGATAACAATCTCTTTTTTCCAACACTGTGAAATTTATTCTTAATGGAACTTTAAGGTTGTCTCTTTTCAAAATTATGAATAAATTGTGTGTATTTAGACAATCTATACTTCATATTTCATTGTTTCTTCCTTGTTCTATTGTCCTTTTCAGATATGATGAAGCCCACAGACTCCTGTTTTTCTAGATATCATATGTGCTTCACTTTCCTGCAAGTGATAGCATTAGCATCGACTTCTCGTAAGAATACTTACTTTTCTTTAATCCATTTCAATTATGAAAATGATGCAAGATAGACTTCTAGTGTCCAGTTTGTCATTGACAGAGATTAACAAAATCACTTCTTTGCAATATCAAGTAAAATAGTCAAAAAGGGACCAACAACTCTTCTTAGATTAAAAAAGGAGTGAGATTACAGGGTCTACGAACTGTCCCTAAGCTAGAGAGCCAGAAAGAAGCATAAGTCTACCTACCAGGTCATGAATGTCTTAGAAGAGAAGAAAGATCTGAGGAAATAAGTGGTAAACAAGAAAAATATGAGCTGGAATCACTGAGTTACTAAAGCCTCAATGTAGAATGATTTGAACCAGAAACACCCCATCATTGGTAGGCACTGGTGGTTACCTTTTACTTCCCATGATTCTACCAGGTTCTAGTGGTTAGAAAAGAGTGATGGAAAAAGTAACCGTTCTGAAATAAGTTCACCTTAATTAGTTCTGCATTCGATATGAACTGTTTTCCCACAGAATTACCTGTTGAGTTTTATTCCCTGACTGAACTGACCTGGGAGAAGGAAGGGTAATACTGAACTCAAGTCACCTCTTTCTGTCCTGTCTTTCTTAGAAGACAGAGACCTTGAGAAGCTTCAGGAAGGGTCACAACCCAAAGGCACAGGTTCACTTATAGGCAGAATTCAACTCATGAAACTGCAGAACGTTTCCTCTCTCTCCCCAACACACATCACATATTAGTATTACATCATTAAAACATACCATCTAGGTACATTGATCTTAGTATATATCTGTCTTCCAATAAAACTTTCCAGGACACACTGAGAATTAAAACTATAGTACATAATGACAGAGCAAGTGAAAGCACACAGAGATTCTGGAATTGTCAGGCTAGAAATGTAATACAATTATGATTAATATTGTAAATGATCTAATGGCAAAAACAGATAATAAGGAAGAACAAAAGGATACTATAAGCAAACCTAGAAATTCTTAGAAAGTAATGGAAAGAAATCTTATATATAAAAAGCACCATTGCAGAAATAAAGAATTTCCTCTTTTATGGGTTCATGAGTAGACTGAAAGGTGAAAACTTGGCAAAGAACATCTGACCTTGAGTATTAGTCATAGAAATGTGTAAACAGAAGAAAGACTAAAATTATTGCAGAGAAAAATCCAAGAATTCTGAAACAAATGCCCTCTTTCAAAATAAAGTAAAAATGACAAAAAGCTTGAAAACAATCTGGATGCCACCTCAGTTAGGAAGTTGTAAGGTTTTAACTTTAGGAGAGCTACAAAAGTAACTAACCACCTCTGCCTACACTGTGTGATCAGAGGCAATAACCAATGATCAGAGCATAGCTCTCCAATAGTTAGAAAATGGAGTTGTTTTTGCCTATCCTAACTCTCACAAGTTACCAAGGCTGTCCTGGAGATCATGAAAAACTTCTCAGTAATAAACTAAGGGCTGTGGGGGTTAGGTGATACTGTCGACTACAAATAACAATTATCCAAACTTTCAAATGAAGTTGTAGGTAATTACAAATTGGTTTTGAAGTTTTTCCTCAAATGATCCACATAGGCTGTTAAACAGTGAGATTCAATAATTGAAAATTGATGAGACTTTAGCTGCTCTGCCTTCAACATTGTAGGTGTGTTTTGCTGGATTCATGTTACTATGGCATTCTTGGAGGAGAGTGAGGTAGGAAGTAGTGTGTAGTTGGAGGAACTACATGCATGGGAGACAGTTCTGGAAGGACTTTATCCTTGTCCCTTTGACTCTCAGTGCTTCTTGGCAACAAAAAACTGTGCTTCAGATTCTCAGGTCGACATTCTGTCTCAGTGGGGCTGAGAAACAGTGGGAAAAAAACCTACCATGAAGTGAAGCCTCTGCTACCAGGAATCAAAGCAATATTTTCTCATTAAAATTATTTTCTTAGGTATTTTGTCAATATATACTATCACGAAAACTGACAATCAGCCTTGTGTAGGTTTCGGAATTCCAACACAGTTATACCAGACACAGTTTCTTCCATACAATTCTTAAGTAGTGAGACAGATCGCTGGGGATTCCTACTTCACTAGAATCTATTTTAAAGCTAGCATTAGTATTCAAAAATATTGAAAGATAAAAAGCAATGTAATCAGAGTTGAATATTTAGATCAGCTGAGCCTTGTGGGCAGGATTTGATATGTTCTTCTAAGAAGTGTATGGCAACAAAGTCTTGTTAATTTCAGATTGATTTTGATTTTCAATTTTTCTCCACAGAGAATCTGATGGTGACCACTCCCACTGGACATTTGGTGGCTAGGGTAGGAGGCCAGGCCGAGCTCAGCTGCCAGGTGTCCCCACCACGCAGTGTGGAGTCTATGGAGGTGCGCTGGCTCAGGAGTGACAATTACAAACTTGTTTATCAGTACAGAGGTGGCCACGGGGTAAATGGAGAAGCTGCACCTGAATATGTGAATCGTACAGAGTTTGTGAAAGAGGCCATTGGGAAGGGCAGAGTGGCGCTCAGAATTCATAATATTAGAATTTCTGATGAAGGACCTTACCAATGTTTATTTAATGATAGAGGTTTCAGTGATGTGGTCAGCATGAACCTCAGTGTGGCAGGTAAGTTGTTTGTGGAATATAGTATACCACTGTCCTTGTGCCCAATAAACTGAAATACTTGAAAATTGTCATGGTGGTTTGTTAAGGCTTTTTCATATTTAAAGTTTTTAAAATAGCCAAGTAATGAGTAAAAGTCACACATCTATCTAAAAAATACTCTATGCAGAAAATAGACATCGTATAGTAGCAAATTAGCCTAATTTGAAAATAACAGATGGAAGTCAATTCACTTGTGTTATTAGACTGCAGAACATATTATTGAGGCTTCTTTTTCCCAACCTGTCAGTCAAGTTTCAGAATAATTACTTTGCTTTTATCTTCTTGTCCTTTCCAGCAGCATTTGGATTGAAGACACAAATCCATGTTGAGAGTCCTGCTTATGATGGACCCAGTGTGTGTTGCTTTACAGAGGGGTGGTTCCCACAGCCCCGAATGGAGTGGAGAGACAGTCAAGGGGAGGTAGTTCCATACTCTTCCATGTCATACTCCCAGGATGAAGACAGATTTTTCCACATGAAGTTGACTCTTCTTCTTAGAAGTCAGTCACAGAAAAGTATCACATGTTGTGTTCTAAACCCTCTAACAGGTGAAGAGAAGCAAACAAATCTCATCCTATCAAGTAAGTACTCAGTCATGAGGGGTTAATTATCAACTTGAAAATACACAGAATAAACCAATCTCCATTAAAGGACTTACTGTCTTGCAGAGCATCCTTTGTATCTCTTTATCATTGATGCTAGTTTTGGTAAGACAAGTGCTAAGTGTAGTGTATTGAAAGAAAATCAAAGAATGGAAATTTATAATTAAGCATATATGAGAACTCTAGAGACATATCTCAATAAATTATCTACTTTTGTGTAAGTTTAACAAGATGCTAATTCAGTAACATAAAAATGGTATTGATCATTTTGAACTATATTCTCTTCTTAGAAAAAATAACCATACTCTATGGGTTTTTATAAATTCTAAGTCATTAGGACACATTGATTATTGTCACATAGATTTTCTCTGTAGTTGCCTCAAAATCAGGTCTACCAGTGTGTAGTTCTGAGTCAGATACAAAAACTGGGAAAGGTAGGAAAAAAGAAAGTGAGAGAGGGATGGAGAGAGATTGGAAGGAGGAATCAAAGAGAAAGAAATGGAATGAAGAAAAGGAGGAAGAAGGGAGAGAGAAGTGGGAGAGAGAAGGAAGGAATAGAGGGAGGAAAGAAAAGAGATGGGGTGAGAAGAAGTTATGGAGAAAGGGTGGGATGGAGAGAGATGGAGTGGGAGGGAGAGAGAAGGAGGAATGGAGAGAGATGAAGCAGGAGAAAGATAGGAAGGGAGGAGATAAGGTTAGGAAGAGTTGCAGGACGTGAACCTGCTCTCCTGGCAGCAGCTTCTTGGTCTGGTGTGGCTCTTTAATATGTGTATCTTAAAAATGTTCTCGTCTTTTTTTTCACAGATGCCTTGTTTGAGAATAACATGAAGAAATTAATTTACATTTTCCTTTCAATACCATTTTTTTTATCTTCATTTTATTTTTTAGCTTTTTGCTTCATGAAATCAGGTAACTGATCCAAAAAGGATAGAATCATTAAGGCATTTTCCACCTAACTTTATTCCTAAGTAACAAGTAGAATTCAGTTAAAATTAAATGGTATTCATTTCCTGCTTTTATGCACAGCTTACTTCTTATTTTACAGCTGTTGAATTTACATCTCTCAACTCTGAGAATGCTAAAGCAGTTTTAGTTTTAGGGATAAAGATCACTATGAATAATTTAATGTGCTTTTTCAGATCCACAGTTAATTTTTATATCCCTTAAACACAACACACTGAAGCACTAGACGAAGTACTAATTGAAACACAAAAATAAAAGAGGTCTTCTTCTTTTTTTTTAATGTTATTTCCATCACAGTAAAGTCACCTTCTGTCACCTCAAGCTTCTGAGTAATTGATGTATGTGAGCCTTATTCTAGGGAAGATTTAATGTGATCACAAATTCCAGAATACAGTTTTGTGGGGACAGTGTGTGTGTGTGTGTGTGTGTGTGTATGTTATATGTGTGTATGTGTGTACATATGATGTGTCTGAATATGGTGCATGTGTGTATATATGGTGTGTGTGTGTTTACGTGGTATATAAACATCATTGTGTTCAGGTGTTGGACCTGTGCTTCTGCTCTCAAAGACCAGAGATGAACTTTGGGTTTTCTACTCTAACCCTTTTCAATTTTATTCTTTTAAAAGAAGGTCTCTCACTGAACCTAGAACTAGGCTGACAGCATGGAAGCCCAAGAGATCCACCTTTTCTGCCACCTATAGCACTGGATTTATAGGTGCATATGCAGGCACACCCAGCTTTGCTATTTTTTTAATGTGGGTGATAAGTTGGAACTCAGATCTTCATAATTTCACAACAAATGCTTGCCCTCTGAGCCATTTCTCCAACCCCTCATATTATTTTTAATGTTCTACTTTTTAAGCCTTAGTCTTTAATAAATTAATATGAAAAGAGGTAGGTACTTATATACATCAATAACTGCTTTACAACCAAATTCTTCTCTCTCATTTTATAGAAACTAATTGTATGCACCATACTCTGTAATGAACAATACTTATTTATAAGAACAACCTTTGGGACTGGGGAGATAGCACAGCAATTAACAGCACTGGCAGGTCTTCCAAGGACTTGGGTTCAGGTCCCAGCACCCAAATGGTGGCTCACAACTGCCTTTAACTCCAGTTACAGGAAATCAAATACCATTTTCTAGCCAGTTTTGGCATCTTGCATGCAAATGATGCACAGACATACATGTAGGCAAAACACCTATACATATAAAATTAAAGAAAAAGAACATCTCTTTTCTAACTCCAATGACAAAACAAAATTTATTGTTTACTATAGAACAGAGTAAAGCTGCTATATGGAGACACAAGAATTCAGAGGCTGAGTAAATAATATAGCAGAGAATAGCAATTAGATAAGTCACTAAGAAATCTGAGACCAGGGCTGGAGAGATGGCTCAGAGGTTAAGAGCATTGCCTGCTCTTCCAAAGGTCCTGAGTTCAATTCCCAGCAACCACATGGTGGCTCACAACCATCTGTAATGGAGTCTGGTGCCATCTTCTGGCCTGCAGGCATACACACAGACAGAATATTGTATGCATAATAAAGAAATAAATATTTAAAAAAAAGAAATCTGAGACCAAAGTGATGAAAGAAGGCTACAATTTATCATTGATTCAAAGATAATGTGACTCAAAGGAGAATTTGAAATCCATTCATTCTATTAACTTATCTCATCCATAGACTCCTAATTAATAAATCGTATTTAGAGGATACTTCCTAATGTCAAATATTATGATAATTTATTGAGTTTATTCAAATGATTCCTGAAAGGTAGTTCTGTTGCTGTCATTAGGGTGAGGATACAGTGGGTTACACAGATTACAAAGGACAATGCTAAGAATAGCCTACAGGTTTGGCTTTAAATTTCATGCAATTACTTCCAGTACTTAGTGCTCCGTCTTGGTGGCTGTGACTTAATCTACTGCTATTTGAACCAAGAAAAGCAACTCCACAGTTACCTGCCTGCTTCTGGCAGTGGTCAGGCCACACAAGCTGCAACCTGGGAGGAATGCTGTTCCTGGAGGCATCAGCTCTGTTGCTGCCATTAAAGTAGCTTAACTCAATCTGTATCATTCTATTTATAAATAAGACTTGAGATTCAAAGGTTGGAGTGAGAATATGCTAGCTCAGAGAGGTTAAGTAGCAACTATTGAACCTTCTCTCCGTGCTGGCATCTCCCAAAAAGCATGTTCTTCTGCTCCACCAAAATAAAAAATCTTTGCCATTCAAAATCCATCCCTGCTACTTCCAGTGCATCTATCCCTCCTAGATGCCCTCTGAGGCTCTATGGTGTGGTGATTCTGGAAACATACCCACACCCAAAAGTTATGATTCCAGATACTAAAAGTCAAGTCAAAATTGTGTTCTTTTCTAAAATATAAATCTAGTTACTTCAAAAATCTCATTCATCCTTTTCTGGAAGGTGATATGAAGATTAACTATCCTGTGGATATATATTCAATAATCTATGAAGAAACACTTGTGTACTGTCTGTTCAGCTTAGGAAGTGGGTCTCTGAGCGGGGTCCTCGTAGCTCAAAGGTGAGAGCATTTTACTGACACTTATGAAAGAACCAACCACTTCAGTTCTCAGAATCTGTGGGTCCAATTAAACCCCCTCATTTTAGCTAATGCTATTCTCACAGCTGCTGTTGTCCAAGACTGAATCTGACGAGGACTCCTATGAGCTGAGCTGTCTCAAGGCCCCACAGTCATTGATTTTGCGTTAGGTTAGGTTGTTATGATCAAAAAAAGGAAACTTCTGTTATCTCTGGTAATCTTACAGCCAACTGAAATGTCTGATACAGAAGAAGTCTGCTGCTTCTGTTCTATTTAGTGAGTATGACTGGAATCATGCTGCTTACCTTTTCATGTGGTTGTCCTTGGGCGACTCTCTGACACTGCTAAGCTCCTTTTACTAATTCTAACTCTCTCTGTTCTAGGACATGAATCTGGATGTAGAAAACATTTGCATAAATTAGACATAATATCAATGATCTTACAATTCCTGTGTTTTATAGCCTTCTCTGGAATAATCTTTTCTAACTATCTGCAATTGCGGAACAAAGGTAAATAGTATTAATGGTGATAGCATATCTCTGGTCCTCTTGTTTTCAGAGATATAAGTCTCTTTGGGATTGTTTAGTTATGTGAAACTTACATCATCTCCGGGAGCATCTGTGGTTTGGGTGTAATCTCAAAGGGTCATACTCTAACAGAACGATATGGGAGGCAACAGCTAAAGCTTCCCGTGCTTTCAGCTGTGTTAGCGACCAGATCCTTCTGCTCCTGACACAGGAAGAAAAAAACAAAGCTTCAGAAAATATTGTGGAGTCAGCTCGTGTTTACTTGCCATTTAATAATCAGTATACATATGTGGCTTATGATTTAAAAATTTTAGCAGTTTTTATCTTAGAATCTGTATTGAAAATATATGAATTTCTATTTCATTCCAATAATAATATTTCATTAATATGAAATGTCATGAGCCTTTTTAAACTAAAATCATTCTGTAGATCTATTAAGTATGAAATAAGGTCATTATTTATAAGCAGAGTTTATGATTAATAGAATAATACTAAAATATGTTTTTACATTTGACAATATTTTATTCCTTAAAGGCTTATAAGGGAAATATGTATAGAGAATTGTTAACAGCAATCAGTGCAAAATGAGACTATGTACTAATATGCACATTTCTTCCAAACCACAAAAAAGGACTTCGTAGTCACCGTGGTCCCCAGACGGTCTCTCATCATTTTCTCTTTTTCCTACCACTTGCTAGAGAGGCCTCGGATCATAGAGTGCTTAGACCTATACACTTCTATGATTCCTGTCCAAAGTTCTTCCTTAGAATTCATGAATCCAGGAAATAAATTTTTCTATGCTTTTATCACCAAAAGCAAACAATTTACATTTATATTGGCAATCAAGTACCCAGAAAAATAAAGCAACTAAGACAAAATTACTCTGGACATCTTTGTTCAAGTAACTGCTTATTATAACTTCTGAAGATTCTGCAGGAGAAAATGT